AAGCAGCAGGAGGAGGTGTGGGGGGGAGTCTCTCTGTGTAGGACACCTAGGAAAGGAGATCTTCCAGGGATACTCACTTTGTGCTCTTCCTACTCCTTCCTTCCCTTGAATTCCTTTCCCCTGCCAGGGATACTCACTTTGTGCTCTTCCTGCTGCTTCCTTCCCTTGAATTCCTTTCCCCTCTTCACTTTGGCACAGTCTCTTTTGTCTGTGGGGTCTGCCTTGCCTGGGAGGTTGGAAGGGTGATGTTCTCCAGCATACAAAGAGTATGAGTTTCCTTAGGTTTGCATTCTGAAAAGGTGACATTCCAACATCTTCCCAGTGCCACCAGCCTTGCCTTGCTATCCAGTACAGTGGGAAATCTAACTGCCCCACCAGAGCACTAATGTCTGCTCCCCTTGTGCTCTTGTGTGCTTAGCTAGAGCAATTAGCAACATGTGCAGCTTGCAAGGGAGAATAAGGTTGATTCTAACACATGGTTAATTAAGACATCACAGTTAGCTATTTGCTAGGCTGACTCAGGGGAGTAGTAATAGGATCTGGAGTTTTTCACCTTAAGTTCAGCCATTCTTAGCCCCAAATTCCCAGGCAGTGATCAGTTATTTCTCATTAACCCTGACACAAGCTGAATCTGACTCCACTCAGGCGTGTGGATGAGTTTTGAGCACATGTCTGTCAACAAGCAGTGTCAGTGTGTCTGATAATTAAATTTCAAAGTGAAGCACCCCACTGCTGTGAGTGAGCAGCAGAAGTTGATGTCTCCCTGTGGCAGTATTTTAACTCCTCTTTGTTGTTGTTGCTGTCTCCAAACTCGATAAGTTATCACAAGATCCCATAATATCAGCTGATACAGATCTAGGCTTTGAAGCCTAAAAATTGACCATTATTCTTAGGTTCCCCTGCAAGACAAACAACTAATGGAGAAATACAGTTTTAAAAACACCCAATCCAACACCTAAATGATAATGAACCTGCAAGAGGCCTCCAATTCCATGATCCTACCTGCACTGCCAAGAATATAAAGAATCGTTGGCTCTTGACATCATTCCCTTGCCAAAGGGCAATTACCTCTTCTGTATGCATTGCCTTAATCATGTCAAGTTGTGTCCCATAAATTTGCATGTCTCCCAAGGAAGCAGAGTGCATTGCCAGCAGCCTGATAGGCCAGATCAAAACAGCTTCCTCGTGTGTGTTTACATCAGCTTCGGCTCCTGAGCTGCTTTAGCTCTGCTTTAGCTCTGCAAAGCAGCACAAATTCCCTCTCTCTGAGCTGTGTGCTGCAGCAGGGATAGAAGGCAGAACATAGATGGATACACTGTCCTTACCACAATTGGGTGATGCTTTCTAAATTAATGAACTGCAAATCAGCTGTGCAAATGAAACCACATGCTAGGTCTAAACATCCTCTGAGATGGGCTTGTTGTCACAGCCAGAGAGGGGGAGAGAGAGCACTCCCCAACGTGTGATGGGGGTGTAATGAATGCCAGCTTCCCTCCCAACTCTCCAGGATGGCAAACTCTCTAAGGAACAATTCCTTTGACTGGTTCGTTGAGGAGAGGAAACTTGTCATGCTGCCAAGAATAAAACTGCTTCTGGGCTTAGTTTTGAATTTTATAAAGTGAATAAGTGAAAAATGTATACACATTCACTTCAGACCCAAGTCATGAATAATTAAAAGAATATATAATTGTACCCAGTTTTCCCCCTCCAGCTCAACCAGCAAAGAGATCTTCTGTCCATGTAACAGGGTGCTTCATGTGGCTTGTGGTTGTTTTTTTTTTTGCAGAAGCTATTAGAAGTGAGATGAGCCAAGGATCACTGAGCACATACTGCATGGAAGTGTGAACAACAGCCTGACCATTGTGGAAACACAAATTGACCATCACAGAAACAAATTGAGAGCTCAACTCTTTCACAGTAAGGAAACTGCAGATTTTTTGACTATACCCAAATATCATCCACACTTGATACTGGATTTACACCACAATATGATACAAATTATAGGATGAACACAGCATTGTTGTAGGATTGTGCCCTGCATAGCACAGATGGACAAATCCTGCAGCATCCCAAGGGGCTGTGACCCTCCAACCTCCCCAGGAGAGGGATTTGGGGATGGGGAGGTGTGGGGACTGACCAGGCTGGGGCTCCCAGCACTGCCCCAGGGGTGCAGGTCCCCTCTGTTCAGATCCCTCTCCAGAGGCTCCAGCTGCAATGACCTGACTCAGCCTCAGAAGCTCACACACTTTGGTGCTATGTGCTTTTCTTCTCAGCTGCATATTCTTTCAGCCTCCCCAAACCCAGATTTAAAACTGAAACCATCTAGAAAGTACTGCCAAAAATAAGGGCCTGGAACAACAAGAGAGTTGTGAGCATCACCTTCCCCTCTCAGCCTCTAAACTGTGAGCACACACTGGTGCTATTCACACTCCTTCTCAGCTCTGTGTAGCTTGACATTCTTTCACTCCCACAGAACCAGGATCCCAAACTGGACCTTTGCACCTCCTGCTCCCACATTGAAGGTGCTGGTGCAAAGAGCTCTTGTTGGCTTTCCCTTCCCCTGATTCTGTTGAAGAGCTCCATCAGATGGCAGTGAGACCTTGTGACAGCAGTGACAGTACCATGGGCACTTCAACTGGAGGATTGAAGTTTTGAAGCTCAGCTCTGGAGAGTGAAAAAATGTGCCACTGCTTCTCTGGTCCGTATTTTTCTGTACTAGCCCCAGAAGGACACTCTGGACTGTGCAAGACTGAAGCTGTGAGATGGTACATGAGTAGGAAAGTGCAGAGCACGATGAGGTGTGTGCAGCTCCAAAGGGAAAGTGACTGTCCCTTTGCGAATCCCAGCTTGCAACTGGAAAGGGAAAGTCACTGAAATCTTTCTTTTGAGAGTGGTCACAAGACTTTTCCAACTTTGCACCTGCACATCTGGTGGTTTAGAGATCCCCATGGTACTGTCCCTCCTTTCTCAAGGTCGCATCGCCATCTGGTGGAACTCTTGATCTGCAGAAACTGATGCACAAGAAATTCCACTTGAAGATGAGGAAGAATTTCTTTACTTTGTAGATGGTTGCTCAGGAACGGTGTGGAATGTCCCTTACTGGACGTATTCAAGAACTGTCTGGACACAATCCTGTGCTCTAGGATGATCTGCTTGAGCAGGGAGGTGGGACCATCCCAACCTGAATGATTCTGTGAGTGTGCCCTGGCTCCACAGGAGCAAAAAGGACCAATGTCTTTGTGAGAGAGCCACAGGGTGAAGCTGCCAATGGAACACACATGTAACATCTGCACCATGCAAAAACTGTGCTGCACAGCTCCTGGGGCTGTAGTGCCAACCCAGGGATGCTGCAGGGCAGTTCTCTTCTTCTTCAGGCTGGTTTGGACCTAGAGACAGTGTCTTCATCACAGAAATGTCACAGCTTCTGGAGTGAGAGTTTGAATGACTAAACATGTCAAGGTGAATGAAACAGATTTTTGCCATTCTGGAGCCTCTTTGCAGTCAACAGTAGTTCAGGCAGTAGCTGAGAAATGTTGTGGGCCCCAGGAAGTGGTGAAGATGTTTTTAAAGCACTTCTTTGTCTTGAGTAGCATGAGAGAGTCGTGTGCTCTACCCACAATATCCTGTTAGCTGCAGCTTGTGATGCAGAAGTCAGTGTTGAGTTTTTGTGGCTGCCAGTCCATGGCTAGGTGAGCTGTTAGAACACCCCAGTGTTTCCTCTTGGCCCCTTTCTACTGCTGCTGAATGGAAAATCTGCAGCCTGTTCTCTTTAGACCCTTATCTTTTTTTGTTATGATCAGCAATTTTGAGCCTCAGGAGTTTAAAGGGGCCACAAATAATTAAAACTCCTTTAACCTTAGTAGGACCAAAGTTCATAGATGTCCTGAAAA